TTGCGGGCCCGCGAGCTGCAACCGCACTGTCGGGTTGTTCAGGTGAATGAAAAGTTAGTTTGTGTTTTCTAAACAGAACAAATGTTACCCGAACTCTTTCATGGTTATCACTGTCGTGTCTGGCAGCGGCATAAAGTGTAGAATATGTTGTAGTCACGCCATTGGGCTTGGACATTACATTTCTGTGGGTTCAGGGTGTATGGTTTACATATTCGTAAGTACATCTTTGTGCGCCCCATTTTAAGCCCTGCATGAAACCCTAAACGCTTAACACCCCCATCCCGCCGCCATTGAAGCCCTCGACCCCCCAGCCCCTAAACGCCTGATCTGTAAGTCGCAAAGCCTGAATTCCTGAACCCAAAAGCCCTAGCCCCCCCAAAGCTGAAACCCTAAAAATCCTAAACCCGGATGGAAACAGGCCTTCAACCACGAACCTAAACCCTGAATTAACCAACCAGGCAACCTGAAGCCTCTACAAACTGTGTACACAAAAAGACCTAGAAGCAATAGCTCGGTGTACTCTAAGGCCTGCTCCGTCACTTGCACTGCAGTCAGACGAGTTGTTTGTTTGTGTTAAGAAAGGGTGTTAGGGTTTAGGGGTTGAGGGGTTTGGGGGATTAGGGTGTGCGTCGTACATAGGGGCTTTTGGTTTAGGCGTTTAGGGTTTAGGGTTTGGGGTTCAGAAGTTCAGGGCGTGAGTAGAGTGGTAATCACTCTCAAGACTTCTAGTGACCTTGCCTACCATATTCCGCACAACTTACCCTAAGCCCTAAACCCTGAACCCCTAAGCCCCTAAAGCCCTAAAGCCGAAAAACCCTAAAGCCCTAAACCTTAAAGATCCTTAAAAGCCTGACACCGTCACAAGATCCGAGCAGTCTTCTCATTGCTCCCGAGCCCACCTTTCTGAACAACAGGACGGCAACGCCGTTGCAAGATGCCACATACGGTTGATGCTGTAAATCCTGCATTACCCATAATAAGGAACATACGATAATTCCCATAGTTTAGGGTCCTTATACATAAGGTAATGCAGGGCTTATATCATCAACAGTACTGCCTGCACGTACTGACACTGTTGTTTGTCCATTGGAGGGCTCCGAGTCTCGATTACAAACGTGGTAGACTTCGAGGGCCGGAGGGCCTATTGAGGATTGCTGAGAGGCTCAGGAAGCTAAGTAGGTAGGGTTATTGGTTGTTAGAGTTGAATTGAAAAGTATCCAAGTGCGTGGATCCTAGTCGCAACCCTACCCATAATCCACTCACTAAGTCCCAGCCCTAAGCCCGAAAACCCTAAAATCCCTAAACCCCAAACCCCATCACCGTTTAGCTAGGTTGCAAGCAGATGGAGCTAGCCAGAGTGCCTGAGCCAAGCCGAAAGATCCGACAACATAGCATTCTACGCCTGCTCTTGCGGCTTACGCCCTCAGGGTTTAGGGGCTTTATGGGTTTTGGTCCTCCTAGGTAGTACTAGGGAGACCCCTTATAGGGAACCCTTATGAACCCTACTTCTGGCTCCCTCAAAAGGGACCTCATTGAGAGGGTCTATATTCCCAAGGGTCCCCCTACATAATCCTATCTCCTATCAATCTCGGTGGGTGTGGGAAGGATTCTCGGCACAACCTAGCTTCGAGCAGTTGAATACCGCCCGTCATCCTCGCTCTTTTTCTGATGACTTGCCACGCCGCCTAAGTGTTGGAGCCAACGGAAGTCTAAACCCTGAACCCCTAATTAAGCTTAAGTCCTAACGCTTGGACCCTCAACCTTGAACCCCCAAAGGCTAAGCCCTGAAGTTTAGGGTGCTGACAGGTGATCACACACTTCTCCATCGACCAGCTACCGGTGTTCAGCTGGACTGAGGCTACTAAGCAGCATTCTTTCGTGGTTTAGGGTATAGGGTTTAGGGGTTAGGAGGCCACTAAGCCGCATTCTTTCGTTCAGGGGCATTGGGCTCCCTGAGTGCTTGCCAATACTGAGGCTCCAAATTTGGGGTTCAGGGTCGCGGTCTAGCACCGGTGCTTTTGCGGGCTCAAGCCTAAATGTGGAGCTCTAGCCTAAACCCTATAGCCGTTTAAGGCTCTGAAAAAGACACTAACACCACAGAACAACCGAACGCCCCAAAACCCTGCCAAAACCCCAAGCCCTATAAACCCTGAAACCTTACGAGAAAACTTGTCGAGCCCTTACAGAACCTGTGGTAGAACCCTGGCAGAATCCTTCTGTAAACCCGGCGAATCACTATTCTAGCAGAATCTCCATAAACCCCATTCAAGACCCTGTAAACCCCTGTAGGGTTTAGGGTTTAAGACCCTGTAAACCCGTGTAAACCCCCAATAAAATCCCCTCCACCCGGTTTTTTTGAATACCCTAAGCCCTAAACCCAAACTCCAAAGCCCCAAACCCGGAATCCCCCTACAGCCCGGCTTCTGCCCTGAAGCACAAACACCCAAAAAAAAAGAGCGCGCTGGAGGAGAACCTCCAGCTGCAATCGAGCTGCTTCGGAGCCGAGCTTAGAGCAACAGTCAATTCCTGGCAGCTGGTTGGTGTTACGGCTGAGCCCTAAAACCCTAAAGAGCCCTGGTTACCCTAAACCTTAAACCCTCAACCCTAAGCCATAAAGAGCCCTGGTTAACGTTTTGCTTTTTGTGTGTCAGACGTTTCAGGGTGTGGTTTTGCTGGGCGATGTTGAGGTTTCCGTAGGCAGGCCATACGGCCTTGCGGTGCGGGATTGACTCCCATAGCCGATGGTTCTGCTGGAGGGTGATAGCCTCTTTTGGTATGGAGGGCTTTTGGAGAGCTCGGTTTTACAGCCTTAAGTTCGGGCCTTAAGGCTTCAAGGCTTTGGTTGAGAGAGTGAAGGGGCCGGCTTTTGGGTTTCAAGAGTCTCGCGATGAGACAAGGTTCAGGTGTCCATGGTGTCGTGTAAAAAAAGTCGGAAGTCCTCGGTCCAAGGTTCGGGGTGAGGGTCTGCGGTTCCGGAGGTTCAGGGCTTAGGGTTAAGGGTTTAGGGGTTTAGGGGTTAAGGGGCAGAAGGCCAAGGCAAAGGGCACAGGTTGTTGGACAATGATCGCTGCAGGATCGTGTTCCTCAGCATTGAACAAATCGGAAGCTAGATGCCTTACCTCAAACCCTGCTGCGCTTTTTGTCGGCTGCTCTCCCTGAATTTTTAGAGCTGTTCGGCAGTCGGAGCATATTCAGTATTTTGCCACGGAAAACCCCATATCATGCCAACCTCCAAGGTCACTGAAGATGGTGGTGAGACCAAAAAATCCTAAAGCTAACCTCCACCCCCGCCCACAGTTTCGAGGCAAAAAAACCCCAACTGCTTTGGGTCCAGGTCGGGTCATGGCAAGGGTCGGGGGCCGGGTTAAAGATTGAGGGGTCTGGGGCCTAGGGCTTCGGGTTTAGGGTTTTGGGTTTTGAGTTTAGGGCTTAGGAGTATAGGGTTTAGGGTTTAGGGTTTAGGACAAACATCCAAAGCTAGTGACCTTGCCGTTTGTACTAGCTCACCTAAAGCTCCCAAAGCCCATAGCCCTGGCATTTGTGATAATTACTTCAGAATGATTACCCACACCAACAATCAAGTGGTTGATTCCGGAGCCAGTTCCCAAATCGATTTACTCGGCCGCTGGTTCTAGTAGAACAGGTCTAAACCTTGCGTCGTTAATGGGATTAGATGAGCACCTACTTGCTGTGTTGCCTGATCTACCACCAGACCCTAAACCTTAATCCCTAGGCCCCTTAAATTAACCTTAAACCCTAAACCCGAAACCCTAAACCCTAAGCCCAAAGCCCTAAACCCTAATTTAACAAAACCAAAAGACCGACTCAACCCTAAACCCTAGGCCTCTCAAATCCTGGAAGTCGAACCATCGGCTCTTGAGGCGAGGACAACTGCGACGAGACCGTGCAGACCTTTACATATCCCTGGCCACAACAGGCAGCCGGGCAGGGGCACGGTTAGGGTGTAGAGGAAAGGATCCCCAGATCCTAAGCCCCTCAACCCTCGTCCAGGTCATATAGGGCGTTTTGGGTTTAGGGGTTAGGGTTTCGGGTTGAGGGTTTGGGGGTTTAGGGTTTAGGGTTCACGGAGTCGTTTCTGGGATTTCCGGGCTCTCGAACCCCAAGACGTCTTGCTTCCAGCCATTCGTATTGAGGATCTTCTCTGCCGGAACACCCAGAGAGCCCCAGGGCCCTTGATTCAGGCCCTAGGGTTTAGGGTTTAGGGTTTAGGGTGGTAAACCCTAAACCCTAGCCTAGACCCTCAAGCCCTAGAAATCACAACCCCCCGTTTTAGCGCCGAAGGCGTAGTCCTTCAAACCACTCAGGCCTTTCAAACTCCGATCCATAGGCCAAACCGTTTCACGGTTTAGGGCTTAGGGTCTCGGGCCCAAACCCAAAAAGAGGGCTTAGGGTTTAGGGTTTAGTGGCTTCGGGTTTAGGGTATTTGGGATGTAAGTTTGTTAGAGAGTAAAGGTCTTAATGCGACAAAGGCTTCTTATCCGATTGCTTTTCTATGGTTAGGTCTTGGTATAGGAAGGCCAGCTTTTGGTCTTATTTTTGATAAGCTTGGATATAAGATATATATATATGTATATATATATATATGTATATTTGTTTTTCTTTAGCATCAGTCTGAGGGCTAAAGGTTCGAAGTCCAGGCATGCGAGTTTGCAGCAGAGGGTTTGGGTTCAGGCTTCAAGATTCGGCAGCTTGGTGTCTAAGCCGAGAGCTTCCTCACTTTGAGGTTCATGGGTAGTTATAAGTAGGGCAACTATAGTTATGACCCGTATTAGGGGACTCTTGACCCTACTTATAACTACACATGAACCTCCAAGTAGGGCAAGCTGTGCATGTTGGCCCCTCTTGGAACCCACAACAGTTGATGTGGGTTTCATCGGTTTCTTTAACCCTGCAGCTGCGTTCCCACAGCTTTGGGGCCTCCTGCATGGGTAGGCTCAAGCAAGCATTCTGGCTGTCGGTAGCTGGGGCCCTCCGCGAAGATGAACGGCGGCATTGTCCAGACCTTCATTGACATTTGTGATGCCGAGGGCATGCTTCAATTCGCGCCGGCCGATTTCGATTGGAATCAGCCTTTAGGGAATGATACACCGCCACCGCTTTTGTATGCGATCTTTCGTTTCTGGAGGCTAGAGGCGATGGAGGCGACGAGAAGGCTGGAGGTGATCGACAGGATCCTACAAGCCGGCGCAGATCCGCTGCGTGAATGTCCTTCGGGCCTGAAAATCACGGTAAAAAAAAAACAACGAACCCTTCCAAGTATGTCGGCAGTGCATTGTGTTTGTACCTTGCACAAAAAAATACAACACCTGGGGGATGCAAATCCGAAGCGAAAGTTTCAGCGAAAGTTTCTGGAAGATGTCCTGGCGCTCATGAAGCAGGCCAAAGGCCCGAAGGTAAAGAAAGCTTCGGTGCATGAGGCCGTCGTCAACCTGTGGGAGTCTGTCCGAGAGATGAGTTCCACACACAACGTGATCTTCGAAACCTCAGACGGTGAGGTTTCTGCGCATGACCATATCCTGATGGCCGCCTCGCCTGTTCTTAAGGCCATGCTCCAGTCCGCCATGAAAGAGGGCAAAGACAAGCGAGTTCAAGTGTGGGATTCCACGAAGTGCGGTATGACGCTCTTCCTGGATGTGCTGTATACGAGTTCTACATGCCTCGAACTCCAGTACAAGACCATACTCGAAGCCTTCGACCTGGCCCACCGCTGGCAAGTGCAGCATGTCACAGACATCCTAACAGAGACGCTGACACTTGGCCACTGTTGAATAACCCTTCCCTAAGGGTCCATGAGATACTTTGGCCCCTACTTTAAGGCCAAAGTATATACTATTTAGGCACATGGACCCTTAAGGCGTCTGCCTGCTCAAGAAAGCTTAAACTCGCTTTTTCGTTGGTCCCTAAACAGCTGTCATATCTTTGGCAGACTACCTATATAGTCATAGTCTCCCTTGTAGTTCCTTTGGGGTTCTTGTAGGATCCTAAAAATACAACTGGCTAAACCAAAACAAGGAACTACAATGGAGACTATAGGTAGTCTACACCAGCGATAGCCCAGGAAAGGGGAGATCCGCGTTGAGAGCTTTGCGGAGATCGCCGAAGCCGCCGTCCTCAAGGCCGTGCATCCGAGAGTGGAAAGCCGTATAGCCCAAAACCCGTCAACCCCATCCTAAAGCTCTAAACCCTCCAAAATACTAAACCCGAAACACTAAAGCCCTAAACCGAACACCCTGAACCTCTAAGCCCTCAAGCCCTAAACCCCTGAACCCCAAAGCCTTGAACCGAAAGCCTTTAAAACCCTAAACCCTAAACCCCAAAACCCCTAAACCCCTAAACCCCTAAACCCTAAACCCCCCACGCCCCAAAACCCCCAAACCCCCCAAGTTTTCGAGGCTGTGGAGCCTCTACAGCGAGCGTGCATGGAGTTCGGAACCAAGGACAAGGAGATCCAGACGCTGCTGAAGAAGAACAGTCTCTTTGATGGTTTAGGGCTTCGGGCTTCTATGGTTTAGGGTTTAGTTTTTTGCGTTTGGGGTTTGGGTTCGTGGTTTTGCTTTTGTGGCTGTGACTTTTCAGGGTTTTGGAATTTCCGCAGTAATTTGAGGTCTTCGCTAGCACTGCTTTGTGTTTCGAGCTTGTGCGTGCGTGGCGGTTCGTTGCAACCCTACAGCCTTCTGCAAATTTGCAGCCCCGGTTGACAAGTCTTGAGCACTCCGTTATCACCAACGAAGGCCATCAGAAAGCCTATAGCCCCTTCTCGAAGCCTTACTTAACCTTTTTGAAGCAAAAAGCCCACAACGCCTTTCCGAACCCCCTCGAACTGCCGAGCCGGAGTGCCCGAATCGCCCGAAACCCTAAGCCCTAAGCCCGAAACCCTATAAACCCTACAAGCCCATAGCCCTCAACCCTAAACCCTAAACCCGAACTGCGCGAATCTTAGGCCTTCCGCCGGCTGTCCGGAAGCTCTTGGGGCAGCGCGAAGCCGAGGATGAGCCTGGAAAGCCAAAGCGCAGACGGCTGTGAAGCTCTTTTTCCCCATAGGCCCCTACGTAGCTCCTTTTTGGGACCTTATAGGATTCTAAATATAAGCCATAAAAAGGAACTACTCTGGGGCCTATGTGTAGCTACTTGTCTGTCTAGAGTCCGTATGAACTCTACCTTCGGGCGCATGCTTGAGATCCGCACGCAAGTAGGCTCTGGTACTTTAGGGTATAAGCAGCGGCAGGGAGATGTTGAAATGCATGATGTTAAATTGCCATATGAAGGCATCGTCATCTGAATAGGGAGCCGTCAAAACAATCACATGAGCCGCAAAATAATTGCTAAGCTGATCACATGTATCACAACATCGCCCTCGTGATGTGTGTCGTCATCTTTCTGACAACATCATCCCTAAGCCCTAAACTCTAAGCATACATGTGGCCAGTTTTTGCTATTTTAACGTGGGGCACCTGCGCAGCTCGGAGAAAGGTGCGATTGCCGTGAACACGATGCACCACACCACAGCACTAAACTCTTCAGCGATTCGGGATGAGGGTTTAGAGGTTACCTGCAGGACACGCTTGACGGTTGGGTTCAGAGATGTTCCTGCCTCTGTTGCGAGGCACACAACTTAGCGATGCGGAGAATCCACCTTTCTGTACAGGGTTTGGAATCTAGGGTTCAGCTCTACTAATCAGTGTAGACCCTTTAAAACATAAGCAGTAAAAGCATGCCCTTTGGGGTCAATTGTAGATTGAATGCCCTACAGCATTCAGCGCTCAGGGCTACAAGTACACCGTTGTTTCTGGAGGCGTCTCGAGATGAAGCAAGGTTCTCAAGAGCTGTAACCATTCTTCCCGGATGACTCGGTGTAGTCGACATGTACATCACTCCTTCTGATTTCGAGTTCCCCGAGTTTTTTCCGGGGCCCCCGTGGCTGCAACTACCGAGCCTTCCCCTAAACCCTAAAGCCTAAGCCCCAAAACGCTAAACCCTAAACCCTTAGCCCCCAAAACCCAAAACCCTAAACCCCTAAACCCTAAACCCTAAACTCTCAACCCGAGCCTGCACAGTTCGTGCGTGCAGTGCATGCTGTTCAGAGGCCCCCCCTAATGATTAAGCTACTGTTGAGGATGTAAATCCTGCATTACTTAAGGACCCTATACTATTCCTTATTATGGGGTACCTATAGTCTCCATTGTAGTTCCTTTTTGGGGTTACCTTTTAGGATCCTTTATATAGAATTGGTTAAACCAAGAAAAGGAACTACAATGGAGACTATAGGTAATGCAGAATTTACATCCTCAACCGTAGGGAAGCCCTGGTTCTCCTCGGGGTTGAGGCTTGTAATACAGGGGGTCGGAACATTTTATGGAGTCGTGGGGTTTAGGAGTTTAGGGTTTACGGTTTAGGGTTCAGCAACTCCGGCTCCAGCAGTTTTACAATAAAGGCACACTCACAGTCTAGACATAACACCCACCCACCCTTAGAATCCCATGGCCCATAACATTGGAAAATACAACGCCCGTTAATTCACACCCACGAGTTTTAGAATTCGTAGACACCTAAACCTCTTTATCATATAATTTGTTTGAACCTGGATGACCTTCGTGGCCCAAGGCCGGGGCCCAAGGCCTTATGCCACGAATTGTTGGCCTTGTGCCTCGAATTTTCGGCCTTATGCCACGAATTTTTGGCACCATGCCACGAATTTTTGACCCAATACCTTCGTGGCCCAGGGCCAAAAAATGGTGGCATAAGGCCAAAAATTCGTGGCGTAAGGCCAAAAATTCGCGGCATAAGGCCAAAAATTCGTGGCATAACTGGTGAGCGGCTTTATGCCACGAATTTGTGGTCTTATGCCACGAAGTTTTGGCCTTATGCCACGAAGGGTATTGGGTTTAGGGTTTTCACTACCCTCTTAGACTGGGTTCTTGTTCAGAATTAATTTAAGCTGCCAAAATAGGGATCTATGGTTCAGAAGATGGTTTCCTTAGTATGGTAGCTTAAGTTAAATCCCCTTCACAAGAACCCCAGTATAGTCCCCGATAGAACTCTTGTAAACATACCGCAAGACCCTAGTCTACTTGTATAGGGCCCCTATGTTTGGTTTAGGGTTTAGGAGACGGCGTAGGGTACGCGGATCCTATGAAGTGAAATAACCCAAGGGCTCTGGAGAGGCTAGTTCTGTCGCTTTGGGTTCTTCTTCTTCCTTCGAAGAGCCGAAGCAAGAGATGTAGCAGTTAGGGTTTAGGGTTTAGGGTTTAGGGTCTTAGGGTATAGGGGTTTATGGTTTAGGGGTTTAGGGTTTGGGGTTTAGTGTGCAGGGTCTTAGGGTTTAGGGTTTCGGGTTTAGGGTGTAGGCTACAGGGTTTAGGGCGTAGGATCCTATTGAAAAATGGTGACTGGGTTGCACCGCCCAATTTTCATGCTCGAAAGACATACACAGAAGTCAGCTCCCACAAAGCAAAGCTAAAGCGGTTTAGGGTTTAGGGTTTAGGGTACCGAGCAAGATGCAAGCTTATATACTCCCTGTATCCACACAGCAGTGGAGCCGAACACCCTAAACCGGAACCCCAAGAAGTCAGCTTTCAACCCTGCAGCCTTAAACCCTAGACTCTAGACCCCTTACGCCCCTTCAAGCTCAACCCATTAAGCCCTACATAAGTTCCGACTCTCACCTAAAGCCTAAACTCTAAACCCTAAACCCCAATGGCAGGTGACGAACTGGATCCAACAAGTCTTTGAGCTTCTGGACTTCAAGCGGCGTCCTCGGAGGACCAACGAGAACTGCGGTTTAGTGTTTAGGGCTGTAGGGCTTTAGGGCTTTAGGGTTTGGGGTTTAGGTTTAGGAAGCCGAGACCTGGCAGTACATGTGTAGGATGTTGCGCTGTATAGTTTAGGGTCTAGCGCTCAGGGTTCAGGATTGAAGATTTCCGTTTAGCGTTCAGCGTATTCCGATATCTTGAGAATCGAAACGCCACTAACACCAAGCAACACCACCATGCGAATAGAGAAGCCTGAAAAAATGACCGACATTATCGCTTAGGGTTCCCGAAACGTTCCGTGGATTTAGGGTTTAGGGTTTAGGGGTTAGGGTTTAGTAATTTAGGGTTAAGGGTTTAGGGTTTACGGGCTAGGAGTTAGAGGTTAGGGTTTGGCGTTTGGGGTTTAGGGGGAGGACCCCAGGTGGCCCTACACCTCAAAGCCTACATCCTGAACCCTAAATGCTTTGCTCGGAGCCCTAGATCATAACCTAACCGAGTGGACCCAAATCTAACAGAATCTTGAATAGTCTGAACCTAATCTAACCTAATCTAACGCAATCTAGTCTGTTCTAATCTATCTATCGAACCTGTCTAATCTACCTATCTTTCAATCTCTAGGTATCATGGTTTCCCGTTTGTATACAGGAGTGGTTAGGTTTCGGGTCACGAACCATAGGGAAGGAGGTGGCAAGTTTGGTTATGATAATAGGGATACGCTCGTTTAGGATATCTATACGGTGCGTGTATATCTGCTTACTAAGTCTCGCGAAAAATCACACCAAACTCCGAGCACTGAGCTAGGAGCCTCAACAAACTGGTGTTGTGCTCTTTTGCAAGCAGATTGTCCTTGCATGATGTGTCTGTACTCCCCAAACCTCCTCAGAATTGCCTTCAGCCCTACATTGCCTGCAGTTTCACCATAGCACTGACACTTGTAGAAGGACACCCCCCCCAACTTTCTTCGGTCCCATGGTATTCAGGAAATCCGTAACCCTGACTTGGGTAGTTCTCTAAATTTAAAAAGGACCCCCAAAAAGGGACCCTAACGTAGAGAACTCCTCATAATGATGAACGTGCATTGGGAAAATGCAGGTTTCCTAGAACCCCGAAGCCCTAGACCCTAAACCCTAAACCCCTAAACTGCCCTAAACTGCCCTAAACCCCTAAACCCCTAAACCCCTAAGCCCCTAAGCCCAATCCCCTATGCCCCAAAACCCTATAAACCCCTAAACCCCTAAACCCCTAAGCCCAATCCCCTATGCCCCAAAACCCTAAACCCAAACCCCTAAACCCCTAAACCCCTAAGCCCAATCCCCTATGCCCCAAAATCCTAAACATAAACCCCTAAACCCTAAGCCCCCAAACCC